TTCTAAGACACATAAAGCAGATCTGATGTTGCAGTTTGACATCTTTGTAACAAAACTTCTGTGCAACTTTTATATTGGATTTTATAAAGTTGTTTTTTTATTGTTTTTAGGATACAAGTTGATTCCTAGTAAACCAGAAAGTGAATCTTTTCCTAAACTTTCATGTAAATATCTTTAACGCTAAGGAAGTTATGATGAAAAATAAATCAAACAATTGGTCACAGGGTCCTGTTGGCAGCAGAACTCGAGCTTCTTTACAACAACTTCCTTCAAACTTGACACAATCCCTTGGTTTTGTTGTTATTTTTAGGATTTTTTTCTGTTCTTATAAAATCTACAGTCAGATTTAATTAGTGTAAGATAAAACCATCTGTCTAAAATAACACCAGCTGGGCTAAAGSAGTCCATAAATCCACTCAGTTCTGTTAGTTCTGAACCAGACAGATTCTGGGTTAGAAGACAGCTCCAGTTTAATCTGGATCTGGGTTCGGTTCTCTGTCGAATTTAAGTCCAGGACTGGAACATTCCTGTGCAACACAAACTTGAGTCTGCAGAGTCAGATCACAACAAACTCACTTTTCTCAGCTCGGAGTTGTGCGCATGCGCACTGAGGCAGCCCAGCCTGAAAAACAATCTGGACACTTCAGGAGACAGACAGCTGTCCTACCTGGTTCTGTTCGGGTTCTCTGAGCTCCAGCTGCTGAGGGTTCGGTTCGGCTGTAGGTTCAAGGTTCGGCCGCAGCAGCACGAGGAGCAGACTCGTGATGAAGAACATCCGTCGGTTTGTTTCTGCAGAGCCAGCAGTTCTGAGGCAGGAAGAGCGGATTCCTCCATCTGTTTGGATCAGCTCAGAACCGAACCTCCCAGACGTCTTCACTTGAACTCCACCCCTCCGGTGTCAGAACCCCGTGTGCTCGTGACACGCGCGCGCACACACACAACCACRTGACTTCATAAAAGTACAGATTTGTGTAAAAGGGACTACTTGACTCTTCATGTTGGCATAAGAAACAGAAATCAATTTAGCTTTTTGTCAGGGTTAGAATTTTTACTCCACTTTCTTTAACATGTCTTTTGGACAGAGGGAACATTTGTAATTTTAAAGTTCTCCCAATAAAAAACCTGATCCTGTAGCTAAAGAAGTTCTGTTTAAACCAAACAGCAGGGAGAAGATGTCAGGACTGAGGACTGGGTAAACAAAGTGAAATATGAAAACCTGTGAGAGTTTCTGCAGGCATCAAAATGAATTGAAAGTTGAACTTGGCACAATTTAGCCAGGTTCTGCTGGAGGTTTCTTCCTGATTAGAGCTGCCACAAACGATTATTTTTATAACCGATTAATCACCGATTATTTTTTCGATTAGTCGACTAAT